GGGGAGCGGCGTCCGTGCAATTCTGCGCGGGGCGTGACGTCACCCCCGCGACGGGAACCGCCGGCGCACAAGATGGACGTCGGGGGGGACGTCATTCCCCGGTGCCGGGCGGGAGATTTAAACGCCGGGACGCCCGTCCAGAGGGGCGGCCCGGGAGACGGGGAGCACACTGGGGGACCGGAGCGCAGCGGATACTGGCGCCCCTGGGTGAGGTACAACCCCGGGGGCCGGTGAGCCGTGACAGGGGGGACTCGGGGGAAGAGGGAGAAGTGACCCAGGGCTGGGCTGCGGAACCCGAGTACGGGGGAGTTTAGGGTCGCAAACCCCCCCCCGGCATTTGGTCGGGGTCCGGAGTGAGGGCGGGCCCGGACCCCCTCCCTCTCACCCTTCCCCGAGAGGGTGGTCATTGGCACCACGGTCGTGCTGTTCAGGATCGGCAACGCGGTGCGTGTATTAGAAATTAAAAGTTGGCAATTGAGAAAACGGATTTGGGTCCGGCGTCTAGCTAGATAGAAAAGGGGGGGACTCCCCCCCAGCAATTGAGAAAACGGATTTGGGTCCGGTGTCTCTCTAGATAGGAAAGGGGGGGGCCCCCCCCTCCTTTTCCCCTGCCTTCAAGGTAGAGGCGTAACAGGGGCCTATTGAAGCGCGGGGCTTGGGGCAGCCGCCCCGCTCACCCTGCCCTATATCCGCTGCTGCTTCCATCCTCCCATGGGAGTAAGGAGTAAGCAGGCATGTCACTGAGATGTGACTCCCAGTCACCATTCTTTTCTGCAGGTATTCGTGCAGTGTTGCAGGTTAAGCACTGCTCCTTGCTCAGGGACATGCCTAAAGTTCCAGGCTCACCCCACACCGTAAGAACTCAGGTGCTGATGACACAATTTCTTCTACATACTGGAGCTATATATTTTTGTTTTTAAACAGTAACAAATTGGAGTAAATATAATTCCATTTGAGGTTTATATCTCCCCAAAATTCTAACTAAGCCAATTTCCTTAAAATTCACAGCAAACATTATCCATATAGGACACAGATATTTTTACATATTGAGAGGAGGAGTGGACATGTGACCTCTCCAACTGTACCAACATCTTGCTATTAGGGATGTAAGAGGTTAACCAGTAAGCAGTAGGCTTAACAGTCTGTTTACCCAGTAACTGGTTAACTGGCCCAGCTGGAGCGGCTCCCTGCCCGCTTCTGCCCCAGCCGACGGAACCCACCTCTTACTATGCTGTAGCACGAAGTACTGTATAAAAAACCCACAGTGCCAGTTTCTCTTCCTGTCTAATTATTGCAGTTATTCTGACACCAAGTGCCCACAGTGGTGCATTACAGTCTACCTAGATTAATCATAGATTACAATGATTTAGAAAACAAATATTCCAATTTGCTGCTGAAATAGGAGGTAGTGGTGCAGATTAGAACCCAAGGTTTGGAGTGTGTATGCACTAATGGTTATCAATGATTTATCAACATTTTATTTTGAATGATTTATTATTACAAAAAAACACTGTATAGAAAAGTTTGTGGGAACATTTTGAATAAAATGATGGAACTGAAAACTAGAAAATATTTTTTCTATTTTGAAATGATCAGCTACATGAATATTGTTAAATTTTTAATGGCTTGTTAAAAATACACAGGTGATTAGTGATATAAATAATCTTCTCATATACATAAAGAGTCACTGCTCCCTCCTTGTATGAGCAGAGATGGGTTAATAGCCAGCACTGTCACATGGTTTCCTCACATCCCATTAGATATCTGGGGGGGGGGAACTACACATGGAGAGGCAGCAATGCACAGGCAGAGCAAGGAAAACAGGTACACAAAACTGTCTCCACCTCGATTACCTTTTCTACAGAGAATTTATACATTGTGGAACCCTATTTCTTTTAAATAGGCCAGCTATGGGCAACCTAGGTTAGTAAGTGTGTTGCATAAGTGTCCCTCCTTCATCTCAGTGGGCAACAAGATTGTCATAAGCAAGATGGTCTTTTGGGATAAGGTAGTTTTGTTAACTGCATTTGTGTACCTAGAATGTGCAGGGTGTGCTAATTGATTACATGCAGAGGGAGCACACGACTTTAGCTGTCCATGTTGCATGCAATCCACACACACTTGATTTCAGGTGTCCTTACTTTACATGCACGTTGCTTTTGTAATACCAGTAGGAAAAAAGCCTACATGGATGGAAACAAGTGGAATCTGGCAACCCTATGTCTGGGCAACAACAAACAAGATGTTTTGTGAGCCACTCATAGAACCCCGATGGGCAGTTTGCCCACCACTGAAATAGGCTCAGGTGCTATTGTCAATATGGAAAGCATGACAGTACAACTCAACCAGATTGCATTGCCAAGGACGTGGAAGGGTCCGGAGCCAATGAAAGAATCACAATCTCTCTGTGTAGATGCCATCATCAGTGTGTTCTGTGAAACAATCCTGCTCATCATTCTCCCTGTAAGTGGGGCACGATGTGGAATTTGGGAGCAAGCACCCAATAGGACTTATGTGATCCAGCCCACTATGATCTGCACTGCTGACAAACTTCAGAAAATGCTCACCTTCCCAGATACAAGGCTCAGAGGAACTGAATAAATGATGCACTCATTTCATTTCCATTTTCAGGAAGATCAAGGAAGCAATATACATTTAATAGAAACAATGACTTGATAAAGTTTAGGGTCTTACTTTGGGACACATATGAAAGTCATAGTAATTCCCTACATGTACACAGAGCACTAGACTACAGCTGCATCATGTTCAAATCCATTACATGAAACATAGAAAAGATTCTTTGTTTTGGAGGTTTGATTCTTTGTTTTTTTAATTAATTTTTACCCCAAATCCCAGATTTTACAAAAAATATTATTTGGGATTTTAAAATCCAATATATTAGATAGATGTGTTTATGTTAATAATAAATCAATGTGAGGTTATCAGTTAAAGTTAAGCAATACAGAGGAAGTGGTAGGTGTGTGAGAGAGGGAGAAAGAGAACAAACAGTTCAGTAAATAAACCACAGCATTAAACTCCTTTACTTTCAATACTCTCACTTGTCTCTATTTGTTGAATAGTTTTCTATTTGGCTGTTTCTCAGTAGTACTAACCCTGATATTTAATTAGAAAAGTGAATTTTTTTGCATTGATTTTTAAAAAAATTTTGTAATCAACACTGATAAATTCCCATGAAATTTGCAACAAAATAAAAACTGAAAGTGAGTATAACTCATAAGTGAAATAAGACTCAACTATAATTACAGTGAAACTTGAGCAAAAGATCACCTTCCACAGGTAGCATCTTTAAAGTATCCTAAAGGTTTCCAGTTCAACTTTGTTTTCCTGCAGTTTAAAAACAAAAACATCTCAACTCCTCTAGGCAACTAGGTTACCTAGGATAAATTTCATTGTGTCTGAAAAAAACAAGAGTATGTAGGGATGGCATTTCAATCTCCAGTTACAAGGGGTGGACAGTATGAATGTCACTCACCAAATGCTTTCATAGGCTCGATCAATGTTAGTTTAAATGCTTGATCCTTCTCTAGTCCTTTTAGTATCTTGGCAACTTCATAATGACGACAGCCCACCACATTTTTTCCATTTATAGATTCTATATGATCACCCACACATATCGCTTTGATTTGGTCGACAAGGCTGCCTTCTTTAATACGCTGTGAGGTAAAAAAGCATTTATATTAGTTAGAAACAAAATTGTGGAAAAAATAAACAGGTGGCACTGGCAACTAATTCAGTGCTGCTATGGATGAATGAAACTCTAATAATATTAACATAATTGCACCTATTATGCTAAGAGTGAATTCAGAACAGCAGGTTTTCATGTACCATGCTTTGACAAGCATTCAAAAACTATTTAATATAAAAATCACATTTAGGTGTGGCACAAAGAGCATTTCGAAATCTGCTATAGAAATGAAGCTGAACATTAAGCATATGTTAGATTATTAAAAAGTTTTGTACTATAAATAGTATGTTTAAGATTGCCACACAAGTCCCAAAGACCATATATTCCCACACTTCTTGTGCACCCCACAGGCACACCATAGAGTATTTCCACTTAAATAAGTACATTGATTTCATGAATATTATTGTTAATGGATCTTTCATAGAAAACAAATCTAAAAGTTACAAAATGTCTTTTTTAATCTTATGAATTATAGAAGATGGAAAATGCCAAAGCATATAAAGATGTTTATAATTTGCATTATTGGAATATTTTAGGGGCAGAATTTATAAATATAGGACTGATAGTTCAAATTTCAATTTTTATATGAATTGAAAAATATGTAGTATATGGTTTTTCTGTGTATGAATTCCAACTTTCATTCCCTTACTTCAGGGGAGAAACTAAAACATAACAACACAAATCATCCTGAATAGTTAGGATAAGATAGGAATTTTATTCCAACCCTCTCCTGAAGTATACACTATTTAAGTGAGAACTGAGTTTATTTTCAAGTAAATCCATTCATCCAGCGTACACAAATAAAACAGGAAATAAAATATCATTATCTACTGTTCTACAGGTCGGACCTCCCTATGTAAGCGACTAGTTGAGTAAGCATAAGCTTATCAGGTAGTTGAGTGACTACTCACTTCCCCCACTTGGTGCCTCTATATCAGAGGAAGAAAGACAGGGGAGTAGGAACTGGTGCTGGGGGAAGCCGGCTTAAAAGCAAGCTCCCCCCAGCCCCATCTCACTGGTACAGGAGGGCAGGGGAGGCAGAGCCACAGCATCACCAGGGCAGTGCAAGTCGGGACTGCTACATTTAAAGCGCAGAGCCACAGCATCCCAGGAGCTACTGTAGAGTAACCCACTGTGGGGTTAACTCCCAGGGGTGGCATGAGCTGGGACGGAATTAAGGATGTAATAGTGTAGTTGATTCTGGGAGGTACCTCTGCTGCGGCTCTGCATTTAAAGTGTATTAGGAGCCAGGCGGGCAGGTTGCCCGGCTCAGCTCAGACCCCGTCTTAGACTGTCTGCTACCTCTTTCTCAGAGGCAGCAGCACTGGGCGACAGGCAGCCGGTCCATAAGGGGAGCTGATTTTTAAACTAGCTCCCGCCTGGCACCCTGAGCTGCTATGTGGCAGGGAGCTCCTTGAGAGTGAGGCCAGAGCACACTGGCTGCGGCCCCACCCCTGGGGACTAGAGAATAGTTGACTAACCAATAAGAATTCATGAGATTATTGGACTATTCAATTAACTGATATTTAACATCCCTAGACTGAACAGTCCCAGCTCACACTGCCCCCAGTTTTTTAGAGGGCTGCCGCCAGGCTGCATCCTCAGCCCAGGGCTCCCAGAGGGCTACCGCAAAGCTGCAGCCCTGGCCCAGTGCACCCAAGAGGCTGCCGCAGGGCTCCAGCTCCATGCTGACATAGACTGCTGGGGGTCTCCGGCCTGGTCCCATGCTGCGGCAGGCTGCCTCAGCCTGAAGCTCCAGACCTGATCCTGCACTCTCTCTAGCTGAGCTTCCCATCTTGGTTTTCCCCAGCCTCGGCTGGTCCTCCTTTCTGCCCTTAGGCTCCCAGGCTCTCTGGTCTAGGAGCATCTGTGATCCTGCGAGACCATGCATGTTACCAAACCAAAGAAGGTTGGTTTTCAGAGCTGTAACCTGTAACACTTAGCTTAGCAGCCAGTGGTGTCAATGGAGAGGTGGGGGGGCAATTCTCTTCTCACAGGGTTTCCATGGAGCCGGGGGCCATTTATAAGCAGTGGTCCTATACTAAATCAGTACCATTGGTGTTGGAGTAGTCCAGAGAATCCTTTGGGCTGTGCAGTTGAAACACCACTGAATTTGACCCAGACAGTCAACCATACTGACGGAGTGTTGTCTGGGACAAATTTCAACAAGTGGCATTGTGACCTAGCGCATGGGATTGCAAGACCATTCGTGTTTGGCCCAGCCACCACTCCATCCAGACAGTAGGACAACTGAGCCAAATGGTGTTGAGACTTGGTGCACTATGAGTCTGAGCCTAACCAGTGAAGTACAAGAAGGTCTGCAAAAACTCAACTCATGTACTTTGTGGATGAGAAGGGAGCTCCCCAGCTGAAGTGGGAAGCCTGGCAGTATATAATGTTCTGCACACATGACAATTTTAAACTTCCTGCAGAGTTTAACTCTTGTAGCACAGATCTTTTTTTAAATCTAGAGTAAAAGCAATAAGATTGGGGGGAGGAGAGGAGGAAAATGTGTTATATACACAAAGAATCTGGTCCAAATGCAGCAACTCAAATTCTTGTTATAAAGCACAAGGTGTTTCTAGCAAATTGTAGTGAAATCTCATTAAATTCACTTAGGGTACATCCATACTAGCCCCCTAGTTCGAACTAGGGAGACTAATGAGGGTGACTGAAATTGCTAATGAAGCGCGGGATTTAAATAACCCGCACTTGATTAGCATATTCCTAGCCGGTCGCCATTTTGGAAATTGACTAGCCCAAAGTAACTGCCCAAAATATCTACACGTGGCAGAGAAGCAGGATTCCGAGATAAACCCCTTAGTTCAAATTAACTGTTACTCCTCATAGAATGAGGTTTAACAGTTAATTCGAACTAAGGGGTCTATCTTGGAATCCCGCTTCTCTGCCGCACGTAGATATTTCAGGCTAGTCAGTTTCCAAAATGGCGACCAGCTGGGATTATGCTAATCAAGCGCAGGATATTTAAATCCCGTGCTTCATTAGCAATTTCGATCACCCTCATTAGCCTCCCTAGTTCGATCTAGGGGGCTAGTGTAGACGTACCCTTAGTTTCTTTACTGAAACCATTTTTATTATCAGGCTCCACATTAACTGGTATTGACTGGAAACATTACGTCTGTGGTATTTCAAACTAACGTTTGTATTTTGAGCTAATTATGATAACTTTCTGGTGAACTGTGAAAAGAAAGCAGGGCGCTGTTACATGCTGCCGCTGAGATCTAATATTTAATTTTCAAAATTTACAGTGTATTTTAAAGGGTAAGTCATGCACTTTCAATGCAGTGCACAGGAAACTACATTGCTCCAATTTACAATAATCAGATTTGCACATCTATAATTTCATACATCATACTATAACAATATTCTTTTAAGCATCTTAAAATGTCCTTTTCTCCCCACGTGGTAACTCTTGGATGACTAATTTCACTCCAGAATATATCTTCCCATTTAGCTATAAATCTGTAAAAATAGGATTTTATGATAGAATTGGTGACAGACTATTGAATACAGCTTTGCAAATGTGACATGATAATATTGAATTTAAATGAATGTTTTCTTACAAAGCAGAACATTAGCTCTTAAAACAAAAGTACCTCTGTTTTCTACTTCACCTGTAAAATCTGATCATGTTGTCAGCAGCTTTAGAAACTTACTCTTTTAAACACAGAGCAGTAAATTGTTACAAGCAGTAAGTGGTTATAACTATCAACAGATTACAGAGTACAACAGAGCTCATTAATTCCTAATGGTATACTAAATCAGTCCAAATGAAAGGAAAAGCTCTAATGACAAAACAGAGCCCTAAACACAGCTCTTTATTCAACTAAGTTCTAGCTCTCCTTTGTAGTGAAACTATCACCAGAGCTTTCTGTGTGATTGGGAACAAAGTGCACTGAATGATACAGGTTTTGCCTTTTAGATATTTATGTATCCACCTGTCCACTCTCTCCATTATTCAATACACTCATTGACCAGACCATTAATCTTTTAACTGTTAACATGGACAACTCTATTTTAAAAATTTCTCAGGGATTGTTATTATTGTACCGAGTAGATGACATTGTATTAAAAATGTGGACAGCCACGGGAGTTTTATCTACATGAGGGGCCTCACTGTTGTTGCCACAGGTGGAGCTGCACAGGTGCTAGCAATGGTGGCAAATATTTGTCAAAAATCCCAAGGTCAGAAACAGTCTAAAAGAAAGATAAAATACAGCCCAAGGCCCACAACAGAGTTTTATTACTATTTTCAAATAGGTTAAATGTTTTTATTTTGTTTATGTATGTTGGCTTTGCAGTAGAAGAGGATGTTTAGAAAAGATTTAAATAAGGGAAGATATGGATGGGTGTGTAGGAGATTGAGAGGGCATTCCATTGTATGGGCTAACAAGGTGAGATCTGAGGGCAGAAGAGTAACAGTAGGACCTGTGAAGGAACAAAAGGCAATACCAAACAAAATGAGATATCTGGGCTAGAGCAGGGCTTTGAAGACGATGTTATATTTAAGCATGAGATAATGGGTGAATGGGAGCCAGTCTGGCCATTCTGGTGTTAGTATTTATGAATCTATTAATTCTGTTTACATCCCAGTTCCTCCATGGTGAGAGTTCCAGATAGTGAATGTATTTAGTGTACAAGCCAGATGTTGAGCATCCTATTTTAAATAAATCTTCCTTTATTTCTACCACTGAGTTTATCCCTAATTTAAGTGGCTTTCAGATTACTTCTCCCTCCACCTTAGGCTTTCTGTCCCTGTCTTACTGTGCCAACCAATCTTAATAAACAAAAGTAACTCTTCAGGAGTGTATTGAACCTAGGACAGCATTTCTTTGGGCCCACAGTGTTGCATGCACTGTTCATATTCTTCCAATACCAGGTAACCCTCTCCTCATGAAACTAGGACTCAGAGTAAACCAGTGTGCAACAGTTTGGTGAGACTGCATTTTTCTATGGTGACTGCCATCTTTAATTTGAGGATATAAACTGTCATTTTGTTTAAATAAGTATCAAGCCTTCGTGGCTGCAAAGAAAGCCTTCCAAACGTGAGTTGAAGAAAAACGATGCAGTAGTGTCTGCCTGAGTCTGCAGTCGGTGTGAAACAATAGCTCTGGCAAGCGGAAATTGCTCTCAATCTCAGGGAGATGTATAGTGTCTTCATTAAAGTGCTATGGTATCACAGCTGCACTGGTGCAGTTGCATCAGTTGCATCAGTGCAATGTTTTAAATGTAAATGTGCCCTGATAAAAATACATTCATACCTGTATTGTGATGCTTTAACTATACTGGTACAGTTAAAGTGGTGCAGCTTTTGCAAATAGGCAAGGCATTGGTGTATTATGAAGGTCTACTGTGTCTACCGTGAGTTGCAGCTCATTTTTATGACATGAACAAGCAGGATTTAGAGAGTTAGTGGAGCATGGGAGAATGCTACACCACTTATATTTTTCCAATCTGCCCCCAGCTTGCAGTAAGCCCTGTGATTGGCATTTCTCTCTTCACATGCCTCTCCCCTTTCTGCTTGGCTGGTATCACTCCCAGGAGTGCTGGAAGAGAGGAACTTTAATACATCACCACACTCCTTAAGATATTTTTGAAAACAAATCTGGCATTACCCTTCCAAAAAAGAACAAAGTGGAGGTGCTAAGAATTTCAAGTATTGATATTAGAAAAGTTCATATTTCTAGCATTTTACAAAATTCATTGTAGACTCTGAACCAAACAGAGGTCTGCACCGCACCCTGACTTTGATAAGCATAACCCCAGTGACACCTCCACAAGGATCCTGCAGCTGATCAAAACCAAACATGTCTCTATATATAATCTCCCACTTTTCACCATTCCCAGCTGTGCTCCAATTAAATTTGCTAATACATGAAGAATAAACGCACAATTTAAGAACATAAGAATGGCCATACTGGGTCAGACCAAAGGTCCATCTAACCCAGTATCCTGTCTGATGATAGTGGACAATGTCGGTTGCCCCAGAGGAAATAAACAGAACAGGGAATCATAAAGTGACCCCTGCCATCAACCTTTCCCAGTTTCTGACAAATAGAAGCCAGGGGCACCATCCCTGCCCATCCTAGCTAATAGCATATGATGGACCTATCATCCATGAATGCATCTAACTCTTTTTTCAACCCTGTTATAGTCTTGGCCTTCACAACATTCTCCGGCAAGGAGCTCCACAGCTTTGATTGTGTGAAGAAGTACTTTCTTTTGTTTGTTTTAAATCTGCTACCTATTAATTCCATTCTGGTAACCCCTAGTTCTTGAGTTATGGGAAGGCGTAAGTAACTCTTCTTTATTCGTTTTCTCCACATCAGTCATGATTTTAATACAGCTCTATCATATTCACCTCTTAGTCCTCTCATTTCCAAACTTAAGGCTATGTCTAGACCGCAGGCTTCTTTCGGAAGAAGCTTTTCCAGAAGAGCTCTTCCAAAAAAAAATTCTTCTGAAAGAGAGCATCCACACTGCCAAAGCACATTGAAAAAGTGATCTGTTTTTTGAAAGATAGCGTCCACACTGAATGAACGCTATCTCGCATGTAAGCTGTGATTACTATGGACTGAGTGGCCACCAGAGCATCTGTGCTTTTTCCTCTCTCCCTCTTCCCCATCTGCACATGCCTTTCTCTGAAAGAGCTCTTTCAGAAAAAGGCGTTTTCCTTGTACAAAGAGGTTTACCAATGTCAGAAAACCCCCTGAATTCTTTCAATTTTTTTTTAAAAGAACGTGATTGCAGTGTGGACGTAAGTGAAGTTTTTCCGGAAAAAAAAGCCGTTTTTCCAAACAAACCTCTGCAGTGTAGACATACCCTAAAAGTCCCTGTCTTATTAATCTCTTCTCATATGGCAGGCATTCCAAACCCCTAATCATTTTTGTTGCTCTTTTCTTAACTTTTTCTAATGCTAAGGTATCTTTCTTGAGATGAAGTGACCACATCTGCACACAGAATTCAAGATGGATTTATTTCTTATTCTCTATCCCTTTCTTAATGATTCCCAACATTCTGTTTGCTTTTTGGACTGCCGCTGCATACTAAGTGGATGTTTTCAAAGAACTATCCACAGTGAATCCAAGATGTCTCTCGAGCGTTAACAGCTAATTTAGTCCCCATCTTATTACACCTATCATTAGGATTATGTTTTCCAATATGCATTACTTCGCATTTAACAACATTAAAATTAATCTTCCATTTTGTTGCAGAGTCACCTAGTTTGGTGAGATAATTTTGAAGCTCTTCACTTTCTGCATTGGACTTAAAATATCTTGAGCAGTTTTGTGTCATCTACTAATTTTGCCATTCACTGTTTACCCCTTTCTCCAGCTCATTTATGATCCCAAAGAGGCAGGATAAAGAGGGACAGTGCAATGAAACTTTTTAGAGCGCGATGTGTGCTATAAACAGAAATTAGGATAACTTCATTGTCACATGAATAAGCAGTCGTCCTATTATCACCTTCAAGAACTTAAAGTAGTGAAAAGGTTAGAAATAGAGCAATATCCAAAAAATTAAGGGCTCTCTCAACACAGCAGTGACTGTTACTCTTCTTTAATTGTGATGAATGTTTGGTCCTCAAAAAGGCTCTAGTTCTAGAAGATTCCTTAAAACAGTAAAACTTATAGCATTAAATATAAAAGATTCTGTTAAAATTTACCTTTATGAAGGCATAACCCGTTCCATTGTCTGTAATGGTAAGCCCAAGAGAATCTTCAGATTTAAGAACATCCACTTCTTTTTTTGGTCCCTTTATGTGGGCAAATATGAAGTCTTCAAGACCAATCTGCCCTCCTAAGAGCTTGTCCATATCTATTTTGTGAGTATTCAAAGTGCAAAATATGATCTACACAAAAAGAAAAACAAATCAATTAAAGTTGAATTTTAAAATATTACATCAATCGTGGCAAGCTCCATTATGATAGGAAAATAAATGGTGGAAAGAATTCTGTTTCCCTGAATTTCAATTATCCATGAGGTTGGGTGCAAAAAATCCCTCGTGGTCTTTTAACGGAGAACACACACCCCCAACCATCATTACTAAAGACTCTATATTCCCATCCACTGACAAGAAAGGTACTAACTAGCCCAAATTCTGCAGAGAAGAGAAAACAGGGTGCAGGGGAGAGACATGTTATCCAGTACTCTAGCTCATAGCTGTGTAACCCAGAGATGTCTTGGTATCAACTTGGTATACGCATAATAGTTTATCAAAGGGTGACATGTAAGAGCTCTACCAAGAGACTGTCGCCCTCGTTTCATTACAATCATTGAAAAATGTATGTGCAAAGTATATTGAAGTTATATATCTATTATGAAAATTACATTCTTAAGGTCTTGGCATTAAGGCAGGACATGACTCTGATAGATCTCTTTCAGGGAGCAGGTAACAGGTATTTATCTTCCAATCTGGCAGTTTGTGTATTGTCTGCCTCACAATGAAGGCCCACATTTGCATACTAAACCAAGTGCCAGTTGAAAGGATGCAAAATGTAAAACAGAAAAAGGAAGAAACAAAGCAGCAGAGAAATATCCTGTTTATGAATAAAGAGAAAGGATAGGACTTATATCTTTTGGGAAGAAAAAGAACACATTGGATCTTTCATCTAGAACAGGACTACTCACTTTGGAAGCCCCGGGTGCCACAATGATACTCACAGTACATGCCAAGGGCTGCAACTTAAGTGTGGTTGCATATACATGTGCAAATATATGCAAATAGCTTCTTTCACACTGACGGGCCTGAATACAAAGCTTAAGGCAAGACTACACAACACACAGGCCCCATTTAAGTCAGTTCTGCTGATATTAATAAAATGTAATATTTACACAATTTCCACCCATATGACAGCACTTTTAATGAGCAATGACAGTCCTGGAATTTAACTATTAAAATTCATATAAACAGAAGACCATTATATTGACTACTTTTTTGTTTTGGCTCCAACTCATGGGCCGTGGATTGAGCCCTGCGTAAACCCAAACTGCACTGCGGGCCGCAAAGAAACAGGCTGCATGTGGCCCACAGGCCACATGTTGAGTAGTCCTGACCTAGAAGATGAGCTGATAGCATGTTTGTTTTATGGAAGGGGGAAACACAGCAAAGCCTGATGATAAAATACTACGAGGAATTTGGTTGAGCTATACTGTACAAGACACAAGAATATTTAGTTAATTAAAATTAGGTTCTCAAATATGTGTGATAATTTTATTTTACATATACCCAAGCTTTTGCAATACCACTAACTTGATATTATTTGAATCTCTACACGCTGTTCCATAAACTGATACTTGATTTCAATAAGGGCATATCCAAGTGCTGTGTGTGGAGCAAAGAGGTGCCCTGAAGAGTGACCAGTAAATTGGGATGTTCAATTTCTTTGAAAGTAGCAAATTGGTGAGTCCTGAAGCCTTTGATTCACTAGATACCTGGACATTCCTGAGAGGTGCTTGGATGGCTCAATGGTTGAAGTGTGCCTCTCTTTTTGGGGTTCTGTGTGTGGCCCACCAGACATTTTGTTTACCATTGCCCTGCATCATTTTTTCCCACCTACATTACTAAAGCAACATGCACGTTAAAGTAAGGGCACATAAAATGAGGTGCGTGCCAACTGCACACAACATTAACTGAGAGAGCCCTGTGCTCTCTCTGTATCCAGTCAAAGAGCTGCTACGGTTCAGTTGGTACAATGCTAGGCATGCAAGTGCCGTTAGCAAAACTACCCTTTCGCAGGAGACCATATTGGCTGTGATAATCTTGTGGCCCACTGAGATGAAGGAGGGCCACTCACTAGCCAAGGTTGCCCATCACTGCTCTAATTTTTCCAATGCCACTGAGCCTGTAAGGACATGACTCTGACAGATCTCTTTCAGGGAGCAGGTAACAGGTATTTATCTTCCAATCTGGCAGTTTGTGTATTGTCTGCCTCACAATGAAGGCCCACATTTGCATACTAAACCAAGTGCCAGTTGAAAGGATGCAAAATGTACAACAGAAAATATAAAGGAAGAAACAAAGTAGCAGAGAAATATCCTGTTTATGAATAAAGAGAAAGGATAGGACTTATATCTTTTGGGAAGCAAAAGAACACATTGGATCTTTCATCTAGAACAGGACTACTCACTTTGGAAGCCCCGGAGGCCACAATGATACTCACAGTACATGCCAAGGGCTGCAACTTAAGTATGGTTGCATATACATGCAAATACATATGCAAATAAGGCTGTAAGGCTCAGAGCAGGGATGGGCAATAAGCGGTTCACGAATTACCATTATCATCCAACAAGAACTACAGGAAGCAGTGTCCAGATCCACACGGCTTCCCGCAGCTCCGATTGGCTGGAAACAGCAATCCACAGTCAATAGGGCCTGCAAATGGCCATACCTGCAGATGAACAGGTAAATCAAGTGTCTGGTGGCCCCCCAGGCGCTAACCCTGGTAAACCACATCTGGCTTGTAGGCTACTTACTGACCATCCCTGGCTCAGATGGGAGTGCGTGTTGCTGTAGCCAATGGAGTTGGGCAGCTGGCCCCTAGCAGGCACAGACAAGGCCAAGGGAAAGGTATCTGGAAACCCCAGACACTGCTGAGAACCATCACGGACCACCCTGCCAGGATCCTCAGGTACACAGCTGCCACCATTTAAAGCACAGTCTGTGCAGCTCTCTGCTCTGCAGAGAGGGGGAGACTTCATGCGATCTCCCTGCCCCCAGCCCAATCCTCAGCTCCTATTGGCTAGAATAAGAGATAGGCCTGAGGGAGGGGGACAGCACAAGTCTCTTCCCCCTCCTAGAGCTGAAAGCCACATGGAACAGTCTGCAGTTTAACGTGATCTGGGACTGCAGCAGGCAGGGAGCTGGCCTGCCTTGGGGTACTGCTAGGGTGCTGGCCAGGAGACACTTAGATAAGCGTCAGATCCTGCCTCAGGCACCCTAGCCCCTCCTACACTCTAACCTCCTCTCCCACATCACCATCCAAACCCTCTGCACCAGGTCACAGCTCCCTCCCAGACTTTGCACCCCCTCCTAGTGCCCCTCCCCCAGACCAGAATCCTCTCCTGCACCCAAACACCCTCCCAGACCCTGCACCCCATTCCTCTGCACCAGGTCACCACCCACCCCTCTGTTGTCTGAATCCCCTTTTCCCAGGTCACAGCTCCCTCCCAGACTTTGCACCCCCTCCTAGTGCCCCTCCCCCAGACCAGAATCCTCTCCTGCACCCATACTCCCTCCCTGACCCTACACCCCAATCCCATGCCCCAGATCATAACCTGCTGCTTCACCCAAACTCCCTATTAGATCATCTCCTATGCCCCAGTCCCTTACCTCATGTGCCCTTCTGCACCCAACCTCCATCCTAGACCCCACATCTCCTCCACAGAAAACTGTGGCCCTTAACCACTTTCCAACCTCTTGGAGTGGCCCCCCACCAAAAATTATTGCCCATCTCCTGCCCTATACACTGCTGCCTCCCACAGAGGCAGCTGCACAGAAGATGCGGGGGGCAGACAGGAGCTGGTGCTCATGGGGAGCCATCTGCCCTCCCTGTGTTGCTGCCTCTAATATAGAGGCATCAGTGGGGGGGGGTGCTCCCCATGTGTACTGGCTTCCGCTGAGACGACTGCCACCCTTGCTACTGCCTCTGATACAGAGGCAGGAGCACGGGGGAGGGGAGGAAGGTGGGTTAAAAGCAGGCTCCCCACAAGCACCTGCTCCAACCTGGCTCCCTGAATGTAAACGTATTTTAACATACCTACTGTAGATAGAAGAAACACTTTGGAGGGACCACTGTCTTCAGATCATTAACTCTTATTCTCTAGAGCCATTTGAAAATCAACTTCCAGCAGTGTTCTTCAAATTAGAAAAGTGGATCGAAAAGCACGATCCATTGTCTTTTGCTAATATTAATACATATTTTTGTTTGTATAATAGTGATAAGTATCCAGGAATTTGCATAGCCACTCCCACTGATGCAAACAGATTGCACACCTCAGTGGAAGAATGAGCTGTGCAGCACAAACTAGGAAAAAATTTTCAGCAACACCATTAAATCATAAACAAGTCGTTGTCAGTATTAACATGGGTTATCTTTGGGGGGAGGGCTGGATTGTTGTTTCTCCACAAATTGATCCAATATATAAAGCTGAAATTTAGTTTTCTTCTAAAACAAAACAGACACTGTTTAACAAAACATTTCTGGGACAATCTTTTTGCTGTGAGGAGCAACATTAAGGACCTTGAATTTGTTTTCATTTTGTACTATTACAGTGTCAACACATTTTCAAAACACCTATAGCAGCACAGTGTTAACAAAAGGCAGCTTGCAACATAGTATACATAATGTAGCTAGAACAGAAAATTTATCTTTGTTTCATCATGGAAAGAAGAATGCACATTTATTCTGAGCATTCATGGATTAACTAAAGCCAGTCATTGAAATATGCCGCAGTTGCACAACAGGTTGAGGTTCAAAGATACAGTACTACTAAATCTTTTTGGCATTTAATTAAAAAATAAATAAAAAGCTAACTGCCAAAGTGTAACAGCGTCTTCAAGAAAAACCTTTCTGTGATGGGGTGAGGTCAGAGATGACCCCTCAGAGGTGCCTCCCAGGGTGCTGATGTGGCCACTGCCACTCATCTTCCCGCTCTCTGGGGCTCCTCACTGCCCGGTCCTGCTGGGCCAGCTCCGCTGGTCTCCCGCAGCCAAGGCCCTGAGCTGAGGTCCCTGCCCCCACCAAGAAGCAGCACAGACACTGAACCACTTCAGGTCCACAGAGAGTGGGGCTCCTCACCACCAGGTCCTGCTAGGCCAGCTCCGCTAGTCCCCCCCAGCCAAGGCCCTGAGCTGAGGTCCCTGCCCCCACTGAGAAGCAGTACAGACACTGAACCACTTCAGGTCCAAGGAAAGTGCAGTTTAGGGCCCAGCCTCCTGAGAGAGCACTCCCCAGATGGGATCAAACCATAAAGAATTAGTTAAGCCCCCTTTAGCAATGAAAAGGGGAATGTGTACGCTGGTTGCCCTCCCCAGGTAACAATCGCTCACACTGGGTTTGATAATAAAACCATTTTTATTTTCTAAGTTGAAGCAGTAGGATTTAAGTAGTAATAAGTGAAAACAGGCAGAGCAAAGTAGGTTACAAATCAAAAGAAACAAAACTGCTTGGCTAATTCTACTCTGAAACCTCAGTACAAACTTAATCAAACTCACCCTAAAAGCTCTTTTCCAGTTGCCACACTAGGGCTGTCTTTCCTCCCTGGGGTCTCAGGCTCCTTCCTTCAGGGGCAGCCCATCCAAAAGACCCAGACCTCTCCTTTCCTATTCCCTTTTTTAAGGAGTTGAGGCCACTCCCTACCAACCACTGCTGGGACTCAAGGCCAAAAAACTGTTTAACAGTGGCTCATCTAGAAGTTTCAGGTAACATCCTCCATGTCTCCCATTCACACATTTGAAACTCTCAAAGTATTCCCCACTCCATTTGTTTAATTTTACACACACAAATGATACATACAACAGAGTAAGATAAACAGAACCAGCAGATCATGACATGAAGATCGATGGGTTACATGAAATAATTCGCTCAAACCACCTTTGAGTTATGTATATTCATGTCCATGAGTCCATTTCATAAACCATTGAGGGAGGGGGGTCCATCACACTTTCATCTTCCTGTCACAGAACAGTCATCTCTCACCTTAAGTGTAGGCCACACTCCAGTACTCCTTCACCCCCACCTGGTGTCCTTATACTGTTCCAGCAGGCTACCAAGTGCTGCAGAGATATTTACAAGCCCCAGCCTGACCCTACACTTGCTTCTGAAGGAAGGGAGAAAGTTGGACCTCCCTGGTCTGGCACCCTAGGGACCTGGCTGGTCCTGAATGAAGGAATTTGACAAATCCAGGAAGGTCTCTTGCCACCAGCCCGCTGCTCCTCCCTGCAGCTGGCTCTGCTTGGCCCCACTGGACTCTGGCCCTGCTGTCACAGGCCATGGTCTCAGGCTCCAGTCCCGCTTCTGCCCTGCCTGGCTGGGGCTCTGCAGAGAAGGGGCTCGCTGGCTGCTGATGGCTCCACTGCTGCCCTATCTGTACTGGGTTTAGGGTTGCCAGCTGGTTGAAACAAAAATACCAAACACCCCTCGACCCCCAAAAAAACAGGAAAAAATTCTGTTGAAGGGGGAAAAAAGGGAGGGCGACCAAAATTGTTGAGCCAAAAAAAAGCCCCAACAAAACAAAACAAAACCTCCAAGGACTTTAAAAGTGAGTGAAAGGACAGGAACAGCGGAGTAGTTGAGCACTAAGACCCAGGGGAAAGCATTGCTTCCCCTAGGTCTTTTGGCCAGCAGCCATTTTGTGCCAGCAGCCTTGGGGAGCCAGGTAAGAATGGGAGGGGGGAGGCCAGGTGCCCAGCATTTTTGCCTCCTGGCCAGGGAAAAATTCAGAAAATACCGGACATTGTAGGTGTCTGGTATTCTCTCAATATTTTTACTGGACAGGAGCCAAAAATACCAGACTGTCCGGGTGAAACACCTGGCAACCCTAACGGGGCTCCCTAGAGAGGGGGTTCCCCAGGTCCACTGCTGCCCTGTCTGGCCAAAGCTCCCTGGGGACAGGGCTCCCTGGCCCAACTGCTGTCCTGCTACTGCTACCCTGGGCTGGGGTTCCCAGAAGCTGGATTCCCACTCCCAGACCACGGATGTTGCCAAACCAGAGAGTCTCATATTTAGGAGATTCAACTTGTAGTAACAGCAGCAGAGCTGTGAGATGTGAACAGTTAACTGGTTTACCAATGGTAGCGGGAGCAGCCTGCAGCAGGCCCAGTCCAGTGCACTACGGGTATGGGCACTCCAGCCTGAATAGAGCAGCCCCCACCTGTAGCAGGGTAGCCACTCAAGCCTTGTCATGGCATGTGCAGGAGAGGGGGATAGGGAGTCTCTCCAGCAGCATCTCCCTCTCCATGACCATCCCCATTTAATCAGTTAACCAGTTAAACCTAAATTTAACAGGTTAACTAATTAAATGGAATTTTACAACTCTACTAATTAGTCCTGCAATTGTAGCACCACTTGTTAATTAATCCTCTAAATAGATCCCAATTGATCTATAGTAGTGGTGGATTAGACAGCCAGCAGCTTCTGCTACACTTCCATCAACTTTGAATTGCCTGAAGAATTCTGATAGCAGCTCTTTGGGTTGGTCTGGTTAAGATTTCACTTATTCCAGTGCAAAATCAGAAATAACTCCAATGAAAATCAGCCACATTAAACTATGAGAACAGAATCAGGTGCCTAACCTATTACTCAGCATTGAGGTGTGCAGGAGTTCAGATCAACTCATAAAAAATGAAAGGTGCATAGACTGCCAAGCTGCATAAAGAATGTAATTACTGGGAGTCCCAGACTTAAACAAAGCCTATGTGACACCTGGGATGAGTCCTCTGTCCTCACATCTTAAGAGCATAATTCCTAATTTTAAATCAGTTTAGGAGTTAGAGATAAGGTGCATTAACCACTAAATAGACATTTTATTATAGTGTTAAGGTGACTGGTGGAAGAAAGAAAAGATGATCTTAGAATTGCCTTCCTGGCAATAGTAGCAAGTATAGCTTTGAAAGCATTCTCGAAAACATACCCATAGGAAGGCATTTGAATGTATTTATAAATTAAGGAAGCATCCAGAAATCCGTAAGCATTATTACTTGTCTTAAGGTATGTCCACACTGAATATGCTACAGCAGCACAGCTGTAGCTTTGTATTTGTGCTCAGGTAGTACCTTCACTGTATATATTACTTCCGCAAATAATGAGGGGTTCTCCCATCAGTGTATGTAATCCACCTCTCCATGAGGTGCTAGCTAGATTGACAGAAGAATTCTTCCATCAACCTAACATGTTCTAGACAGGTTAGGTCAGTAATATAGCGATGTCTCTCAGGGGTATCTGAAACAAAATACAGGACTATGTAGCACTTTAAAGACTAACAAGATGGTTTGATGAGCTTTCGTGGGTCAGACCCACTTCCTCGGCTACATTTCTATCTCAGGGGTATGGCTTTTTCATGTCCCAAGAGACGTGACTATGCTGACGCAAGTTCTGAGTGTAGGCCAGCCCTCAGTCTGAACAAAAGTTAGCTGAATCTTAACATGCTGTTTTAACATGCTGAATCTTAACACCGACTTAATAAATATGGCATCATTCTACCCAGCAGACATGTTGTCTTTATATACTAGAGCCCTATTTACTTGCTTTAATGACCTCAAAAGGGCTGCAGAACACTCACAGTTCAGAGTGAACAAACTGCAGCATCTATTCCATCTTATTCACATAATTCATTGTTGATTTATTATCTAAGCACTTCTCCACAGCTCTAGAAGCTTTTATATCATTAAAAATTGATTTAAAGCCACCAACTCATTTCACACAGACCAAAAAACATTACATTCTATGTCTTATTTTAGAAGTCGGTCAGAAGGTCCTAAATCAACTGGCCACTGGCTGTTACAGTTTCATCCAACACACTTCAATTTTATTCTGTTAGGCAACTAAAATGTTCTTTAGTTAATTACCATCCCCACTATCATCACTTACATTGTACTTTCAAATAGTCATTCTTTCTAAGCCATCAGCATCAAATATGTTATATCCCGAGGGAACCCACTTCGAAATGCTATTACAAAGATTTAAGGTAAATTCCCAGCTTTGTACCATGATCAATAACTCAGTCAGTTTTATTGTGATTTAATTATTGTTGCTCTTTCATTATGAAACAAAATAAATGTTATTTTACTAATTGTTTTGCCTCTAAGAAAAATGTAGTGTCCTTGTTTTGACCTTGTCAATCATAGACAGCCATCTAGTAACTTGTTCCACACCTCTGAACAGATAAAATTGGCAACAGAGAAGAAATGTGATCTTTAGAAACATGATCCAGAGTTTCTCTATTTAGCTTTCATCTGGATGGCATTCTCACTGAAGCCTACAAGACTGCAGACCTTTCTACAAATGAGTCAGTTCTATACTAGCCTGAAAGAGCATCAGCAGCTCAAAAATAAAAACTGAATCATGCTGTCTACTCTGTCCTTAGCGAAAAACTGCTTTTATTCAAGACAACTAAATGGACAAAGTAACATATTAAAGATACCTTTGTGCAATATATTATACTATTATGGCACCTATCAGTTAAAAGTATACTTTTATTTGTTACATACTGCAGTACTGCCAATGCAGAAATTACAGACCTTGTTACCATTTTTCATACTTATTAGGATGTTAAAAACTGTTTAATATGGTAACCGTGTAACTGCTAAAAATCTTAGCAGTTGCATGCACTACAAGCTCTGCAATATAAAGCATAGCTTTATCCTGAGGACCAGCAGCGAAGCCTCCCCAGGAGCAGAGCAGCAGCCCTTACCCACCTGGTTCCTGGGGAGCAGGTTTCACTGCAGGGAAGCTACCTTCCTGGGAACTGGCTAAGTTTAACCAATACCATTAACAGATACTTATCAGTTTATTGGTTAAACAGTTAAACTCTAACATCCATAATACTTATAACATAAAAGTCTACATCAAAATAATATATTACTACTTAAATAATAGGCACTGGAGTACAGGCAGTCCCTTACGTCGGATCCGCACTTACGAACGGGGCTTTCTCGCCCCGGAAGTCGGGGCAAGAAAGCCCCGTTCGTAAGCTGCTCCGGTGCCCCTGGTCTGCTGGAGACCGTCTCCAGCAGACCAGGGGCACCGGGGGGGTTCCCGCGCTTCTGAGGCTTTGCCAGAGCAAAGCCTCAGAAG